CGTATGTACAGGGTGGGTAAAAATAATATCTTAAAAAAATTTTGTGAAAAATTGTTATTACGAAAGTTATAAGATTATTTATAAAATTTACCCAACGATTTTTTCCAGGTTTAATTGATCGATACTGCTATTTATAGAAGGTATAGTAAGGAACCGATTAATTTTTTAAGTTTTGGTGAAACTCCTTTCACTCTCGCAACTCAGTCTATTAGGTATATCATTAATATTAATTTTATCGTGCTAACATATTTATAATAACATAGTTAGAAAACATAGCTAATAAAACAGTAGGTACTCTCACATTCTACCATGAAATTGACATTTTTACTGTCGCAATTATTTCCGCTTTATTCTGCAGTATAATTTTAAATCGCCAAAGTTTAGTTCGTGATTGAACTTGGTGCAGATAAAGTCTATATGTAGTACCACTTTAGTTACCGCGAAAAAAATCTTTTGGTTAGCCGCGCACCTTCAGCACACATAATATAATAATATGTAGATATTTAATCGGTCTGGTCTAGCTAATCATACTTTAAAATCTTATTTGTTCATTTTGTTTAAAGTGCTTAACGTTGACAGTATATTTTTATTTATACTCCTCGCTTTCGTACAATTTTACTGCGCGCACAGAGTCGGAGATTGTGAAGGTTTTTTTTTGTTATTAGACAGATCATCTCAGATTAAGGACGTGGAGGAAGCATGACATAAATACAAAGTTAAAAACTGCAATTTACTACAACTTCATCGATTTAAATTGAGTACGTATTTACGCGTGTGCTAAACATCATGAGTCCTAGAAAGTACACCGTTGAAGATGAGACAAAAAAAGAAGGTAAGTTAACTCTTGACTTATTTTTATTGAGTTATTATGTACTTCTCTCTTGGGGAATTTGAGGAATTTTAAATTTCGCGCAATTTTTAGGATGCTTCCTTGGAGTGCGACATTTGCAAATTGTCCTTATCTCTTGCATGGCCGGAATATGTTTTGGGAAAAATGTTAATTTTTCAGTTGCGATAGTTGCTATGACAAATACAAATGCAAACTCTGATATTCCGGTATGTACTATTTTTGTTGCTACTAAAATAATCAAAAATATCATCAGCTTGAAGACTGGACCAATTTTTTGTATTTCCCTAAAACTGGAACATTCCAAATCCCTACCTGTATACACGAACGCGGTAATCTGATGCAGATCTATCTCTCTGCTTTCTTCACTCTTATTACTGCTTCTAATATGTCCTACCATTCAATGTTTCCTAATTCCTACCGATTTTCTTGTTATCCTCCTTTGTAACATTTTCTAATACAGAACACTCTAAATAGCTCAAACTCTAACTCCAAAACACCCCACTAAGCGTCCGAAATACTTTTTGACAACTTCTAGACGCTTGTATATTAAAAATTGTAATCTAAAATTTTCTTAATTCTTTTAAAAAAAGAACTTATCTTGACCAGATCCAGTTCACCTAACTTGGGCAAAATTATCAAGGAACAAATGCAAATCATTAAAAGAACCAAGACATAAAACAGTAAATCTTATCCAAACTCTTCTAACTGTCTCGTTTTGGCGTTGGAATTTGCGCTATTTATAGTGTTCTGTATTGGAACCTATCAGGAAGAGCAGGATTTACAATGTTCTGTACAATATCGCCAATGTTATGCAGTCTTCTAAATTTTCTAATATAAAACATTAGCCGAAACAAGTCAATTCCATTTCCATCATTATCTAACCCAAAACCTTAGTGGGTAGCCCTAACCCTTAGGTTTTTTTCTATATTTTATAATACATTAAACTTTTAACCTCGTTTAGAAGTTTGCATTGCAAAATTTTAGTGGTTTGCGTTGTGCCTCGATCGATACATCAATCTTTGAACACCCTGTTCACCCCTGAAGGGGTTCAATTTAAAAAATCCTTTCGTAATGCTCGCCTACGTTTTTTGATCTACTTTCTAGTCTGTAACTACCACAAAACAAAAAAAAACATGACATTAACAGATACTCGACTTTTTCAGTCTCGAAATGTTGTATTTAAAGTGATTGAAATAGGAGAATGAATTTCTGTTAATTGAATTTCTAATTAGCATTTACTAGTAATTTGTGATCAGATAAACAAAATGTGCTTCTAACGAATGATTTAGCGTCTCTTTTAATCTTGTTGTTTGATCAGACATAGACGTGGGTTTATGTGGCTGCAGTTTTTGCAGCTCATTTCTACGTTACTACGAGAAGATAAAATTAATAAAACAGAGATAGGTCAATATCACAACTAAAGTTACCTATTGTGAGATAAGAAAGTCCAGCCGAAAGGAAACTTAGAAATGAAAATGTAGCTATTAATTTTGTATATTTAAATACCTTTAAATATTAATTTTAGGTTAGGTTATAAGTTTTTCGAGTGGCACTTACCTACTATCTGCCTAAACTAAATGTTTAGGTTTTTGAAATCAGCCTAGGAAGAATTTAATGTAGTTGTGATTGTTAAAATGCTTTTTATTTCTTGACGGTTTATTAGGTATTTTGCCAAATTGAATTAATTAACATTTAAATTTTTTTGTCAACAATATTTTTCCGTTATTCGATTCTAATTTTAGCCTGTAATTATTAATAGGCACTTAATTTACTGACAAAAGTTAATTATAAAAACATTGCGTTTCAAAATTAAGCAGGAACACCACTTTTTGTTGAACTTGAAATTTTAATGTAGTATTTATGTAAACTTCACTCATTACATAATCACATATAAAAATTACAATGTATCAGTAAGCACAGATCAACTACTATTAAATACATCAAGGCTAATAAGATGCTACAGTGGGTATGATTATAATTTTTTTTGTTTTCTATTCATTAACCAAAAATAATATGATACCGGCAGAAAAGAACTGCTAAATAAGTAAAATCCGCCGATGAAATTTTTTGTAATAATAATCTAGGACTCGTTTAACAATTCGTTTATAATTTTTTTAATGAATCTCTTTATATTCCTTAGGTTTTTTGTCGAAATTTCCTTATATTTCCCCGGAGGTTCTTACGGTGAAAACGGGATGTTTTGTTCCTACAGGGTGCTCCACGACACCATACAACCTCTTAAAATTACAACGTCATCAACAAAGTCTCGTTGAAAGAAATATAAAAAATGTGGAAAAGAATTCATCATCATCATAAGGTCCCTAGTCCCAAGACTGGTTGGACACGCACTCCTTTCTACCCGAGCGACTCTTCGCATTAACTATTTGCGAACAGTTTTCTAATCTAGGTCTACCTCTACTCCTTCTCTGACTAGACCTTCATGCCTGAGAAGGTGTCCTACCAACCTATCTTGCCAATTTCTTATTGACTTCCATAGAGTCTCCTCTGTTCTCCTATTCTTTCTAATACCTCTTCATTTCTAACCTTCTCTATCCACGGTATCCTCATTATTAGTCGGTAACACCACATTTCAAACGTTTCTAACCTTTTCTTTTCCTCTGCACTCACCGTCCATGTTCCACAACCGTACAGCGCCGCGCTCCAAACATACACCTTTAAAAATATTTTTCGAATTTCTATATTAATCGTTCGCGAGCATAGAAGTGACTTCTTTTTATTGAAGGCGACTCGACCCTGCACTATCCTCTGCTTTATATTCCTACTACTCCTTTCGTCCTGACTTATCTGACTTCCTAGATACCTAAAATCAGCCACTTCTTCTAATTTTTCGTCTCCCATCTTTACATTCGCTCTTTCCCTACTTTTTCTTCCCTTTTATACCAGTATTTTTTTTACTTTTATTTATTTTCATACAATATTGTTTTGTCAATATCGCTTCCATTTTATTTAAAGTTATCTCTAACTCCTCCTTGCTAGATGCTAATACTGCTATATNTTTATTTGTAGATTTATTTCATAGATAATATATTTGTAGGAATATTTTAGGTGCATTCAAATATTGCATAAATACTAGGATTTATTGATGTTTGTAGGTAGCGCCTTTAGATTTATTTAGTCAATTCAATTGACATTAAATAACAATGTTTTAAAATATTACAACGTTTAAAATTGTTTAGTTATACAAAAATTTTGTATGCAAACTATACACTAAATATGTAGTATTCAATTACATTAAAATTTCAACGTTGAAGTATTTCGATTAGATCAATGATAACTACTTATTCTTTAATGGTTTACAAATTCTTTTAACCATAGATAACATTCAAAGATAATAGAATAACATAACCATTAAAATAGAATGACAATTTTGATAGGTTAAACGTCACATCCTAACGCTTTTTAAAAGTTTTTGAAAGAAAAAAGTGTAATACACTCATTTGTTCATTTTTCCTTCATTATACAACATTTCTAATGCAAAATGAAAAACGTGATTTTAAGAAAAATTATAGTACAACGGTTTTTTCGAACCAAGTCGACGTTATCAAGACTTGACGTTCTTGAAGAAACCACTAAAAACCACGAAAAGAAGGAATTGCAGAAGTTAAACATAATTCAAAAAGAGAAGCTAATAAAACCAGGACCTTCTTTAAAGGAGTTCATTCAAAAAGAAAATAATGTTACATTACATAGTGCTTTAAAAAGTGACCCAGTTCCATACTTGGACAGGAATAGCAACTATGGATTAAAAAGAAAAGTCTATTTTGAAGTATATGGTTGTCAAATGAATGTGAATGATACCGAAATTGTTTGGTCCATTTTGAAAGACAATGGTTTTCTAAAAACAGAAAATTTGTTAGAAGCTGATATAGTTTTACTCATCACTTGTGCCATTAGAGACAGTGCAGAAGTTAAAATATGGAAAAGACTAGAATATCTAAAAAGTTTGAAAAAAAAGAAAAGTCTCATTGAGTACAAGCCATTTTTAAAAGTTGGCGTACTAGGATGTATGGCAGAAAGATTGAAGACAAAGTTACTTGAAAAAGACAAACTGGTAGACATAGTAGCTGGACCTGATAGTTATAGAGATCTGCCACGTTTGTTGGCTCTAACTGAAAACAATCAAACTGCTGTAAATATATTACTATCCTTAGAAGAGACTTATGCAGATGTTACCCCTATTAGATTAAATCAGGATTCTGTTTCAGCCTTTGTGTGAGTTCTTTTACTATATGTTTTATTAAATAATATGAATTAAAATTTCAGCTCAATAATGAGGGGATGTGACAACATGTGCACTTACTGTATCGTGCCTTTTACAAGGGGGAGGGAGAGATCAAGGCCTGTTGACTCGATTTTAGATGAAGTAAGGCAGCTGTCTGAGCAGGGTGTCAAAGAAATAACTCTGCTTGGTCAGAATGTTAACAGTTACAGAGATTTGTCAAAAGCAAAAAGCTTTTACACATTAAATTCCAGTAAATTGTCAGAGCCAGTGACAACAGCAAAAGGTTTCAAAACAGTTTACAAAACCAAAATTGGCGGATTACGTTTTGCAGACTTACTGTGTAGAGTAGCAGAGATTAATCCTGAAATTAGAATAAGATTTACTTCCCCCCATCCTAAGGATTTTCCAAACGAAGTTTTAGAGGTATTTTTAAAAGATGTGGAATTGTGTAATGATAATTATATTAGATTTTAGGCAATTAAATCGAAACCAAATATTTGCAAAAGTCTTCACATGCCTGCTCAGTCTGGGAATACTGAGGTTCTCTTACGCATGCGAAGGGGATATACAAGGGAGGCCTATTTAGATCTTGTTAATCATATACGCAGTTTGATGCCTAGTGTGACGTTAAGTTCCGATTTCATTTGTGGATTTTGTGGAGAAACCGAGAAAGAATTTGAGGACACACTATCATTAATGGAAATAATAAAGTAAGTCTTTACCAATTTGTTAAATAAAGTAAGTTTTTCTTTAAAAATTTGTCTTGTATTGGTGCTCAGTAATGTATGATTTTAATGAAAGTCAGCGTAAATCATTGTCTGTATGTAAAAAGAAAATGATTATCTAATATTAATTCATTATTCTTTAAAGATTTAAAAAGTAAAAGTTATAGTTTTCTTTAAAATATACCCAGCAAGCTACATAATATTTTGGTATTAGAATGACTTCATTTTATTCACAGTATAACTTGTATAAATTTCGTAACAGAGGAAAGGGCAATAAAGAAACGTATATTTTGTTTCAGGTACAACACAGCCTACCTGTTTTCTTACAGTATGCGCGAGAAAACAACTGCGCATCGTAGATACGTAGATGACGTCCCGAAAGACGTTAAAGTTTCGAGATTAATAAGGATGTCTGCAGTGTATCGTAAATATGCAGAAGTTTTAAACAGGTCTCAAATAGGACAAATTCAATTGGTTTTGGTTGAAGGGAATAGTAAAAGATCTGAAAAATATCTAGCTGGAAGGAATGATGGAAATATAAAAGTTATATTTCCAAAGGGACGGATCCCTCACAAAGATGGAAATCACCCCATTGATATTAAAGTTGGAAGTTATGTTGCAGTTCAAATAAACGACGCCAACTCTCAAGTATTAAAAGGAATACCATTGTATCATACCACATTAATGGATTTTTATAGGACTGAATTGTGTAAAAAACATGATATATCTTATTTGAAATATGCTAGTTATATGTGAGGCTTCTAATTAATGTAATGTCTATTGTTTGAAAAGTAGTAAAATAAAAGTTTAATAAATTATTAATTTTAAACAAAATTAAGAAGTATATTATGTGTTCTTGAACGGATTGGTTTGATGAAATTGTTTTTGAGCTATAATAAATGTATTTGATTGTATTGAAGTAATTTTAATTGTGTTGCTACTTTTTGGATAAAACAAAAATGAATAAATGACTAAATTGTGATACTGCCCGTGGTCGTATTCCTACCAATGTTTAATTTAGTTTGATTTTACTTAGTTAAGTAAAAAAACAGGTGTCGACATCTATGAAAAATATTTGAAAGTATTTTTAATTTTTGAGAAGAAATTGTTGAAAATGTAGGCAACTTCATTAGCAGATGTATGTCCAAAGGGATATATACATAAAAATAAGATAGAGGGCACCATCAGTTACAGGTTTGGCGGTAAATTACACAAATCAATTAGTAAAAGAAAATAATACTTATTTAAAATATAAAGAAATAAAAAGGTCCTTAATTTTAGCTAACTTGGTTGTAATATTTTATTACATTATTTTATTCATTTTGAAAGATGTTTAGTTGAATGGACAATAAAACAGAACTAGGTACTATTTGATAAGATATTATTTTATAGAATGGTTAGATACAGTATGCAAATAATTGTGCGTGAGAGAGATTAGTGAATGCAATACGCATTGGGAGAAATTGAATTTTTTATTTTGCACTGCAAATAAATTACAGGCTTGAATGCAAGGTCTAATATTTGCTAAATTTATCCAAAATGTTATGTTGACACTGTTTCACAATAGAAGTATTTGAGCAAGTAATCCTTTTAGAAACCGTAGTTAATTATGCATATAGAGTTCTTTATGATATGTATACCATTCGACAAAAGATAAAACTATTCGTAGAGATATAATAACAGGTAATAAGTAAATGGCAGGTAGTATATGCTAATGAATAAAATGCAAAAAGTTTGCATATTGAGTGAATGTTATTATTCATTATTGTTTATTGGCCAAAGACCTCTCTTCATCCCACGTGAAAACTTATCACAATACATTTGAACTGTATGGATTAACTTTAGGAGATTTTATCGAAAGACAAGAGAATTCAGTGTCGCAGACCTTTGTTGATGTCTGTAGTAATTGATAAAAAACATGTATCAGTTTAACGTCCTCTCTTACCATATAATGTATAAATAACAGTGCATGACTTCAAACAGTCTAAAAGAATTTACTCTTTCAAATAAACTTCTAACAGGTCAATGTTTCTGTGAATCATAAAAATATATTTTGTAAGTTTTTTGTAATTATTTATATTTATTTTTGTTAATTTTGAACGTTTTCGAGTAATGAAATTTATAAGTAATTTCTTTGTAAATTAGTTTATATGTTTTCTTTATGTAAGTGTGCAGTACACTTTAATATATGGCGTTTTATAAATTTCCTAGGAATTATATAAAATTCCTGAATTATATAAGG